ATAAATAAAATTTGTGAAATATATTCTAAAACAMATTATTGAATGTTTCGTAATGACAAGAACTATACGCATGTAATTATCATAGTCATATCAAATTAATTATAATTTAATCCTAAATAACGCTCATGATTATTTTTACTTAATTTACTTAATTTTCTTCGTCATCATATCCTACATCTTCAAACTCCTGGTCTTCGTTTCCATCTTTACCATCTTTGTCGTCTTCAAACTCTTCACCCTCAACGTCTTCTTCGTCATCATATTCTACGCCTTCAAACTCCCCGTCGTCGTTACCATCTTCGCCAACTTCAACGTCATCGTTTTCAACCTGTTCTTCGTCACAACGTTTGTCTTCGAAATCCTCATCCTTTGATTCATCACCTTCCTCTTCGTACTCAGCTTCTTTTAATTTCTCGTTCCCTTCACCTTCATCCGTTCTGGTCACTTCTTTTCCAACACCCTTTTTAGTGGAGTTTTTGTCTATATCGGTCATAATAAAATAATTATTGCATTGGTATATTTTCCAGCTACATTCAGTTAAATGGTTCAACGAGCCACAATCGATTTTGTTACTGACCTTTTTTCCCTTTCTTTTCACTGTGTGCAGCAACTAAGAAAAGTAAAGAACAGTATTAATAGCTAGTTCAGTTCAAACTACCGATACACAAACTCAACGCATATTATTTCAACAATGCGCAATTTTTTATTGTCTCTTTAAAGTTATGCTCGAATTTTTTGTTTTTTGTTCGCCCCCCCCCACCCCCCCCGCTCCCTTTGTTCAAAAATCTAATGGTCCGTCCCTTAGTCAAAGATTTTTTAGGGTAGACTATGACCTTGATGAGCGAGGCTGTAAGTCTTCATCTAAACTTGGATGCACCTTCATCCCTGATTAAGGTTTTTAAGGTTTTTTTAAAGGAGCCTTTTAAACAGATATGCAGGTAGAATTTTCTTAATTCACATTTTAAATCTATAAACAGTTTCTATAGACCCTTCGCTATTTTCGCCAGGTGGTATTGGTGAAAAAATGGGAGGCTTTCAAATAGTGACCATCAACTGTGTGGTCTTGATATATATATCGTTTTACATTGAAGAATTATATACTAAGTCAGAGATCAGTTAGAAATGAACGGCCGGGATCTCGAATACTATTTGGCCTCGAGGCTAGTAGAGAACTTTTCTTATTGCTGGGAGCCGTCAGGCCAGCAGCAACACTAATCTTGGGGTTCCTGTGTTTGAATTGGGGTACCTGTGTATCTGAATACCAGGAAAAATATCGATTTTAGGATTTCTGTCATTCGTGCAATCGAGATGATTTTGAGCCTGCAATCGATCTGGATTATCTTTTGATAAAGTGATTACCATTTCTGTTTGTAGCATCTTTTGGCTCAAGATAAATGGAAGTGGCATATCACACATAACACATTAACTGAGGCATGTATTGTACCCTTTTTTTTTTGTTGTGGCTGAACTTTTTAAATTGCCAACAATGGACTCTTTTACATTGCCATCATCATTTCTAAAATTAAAGGGACACTTACAATTAATTGGACATCTGTTACTGTATATTGTGTTACTTTTGATTACTTGCCAATAATATACAACCAGTTGAGTGCTCAAGAGGCAAATACACTAAAYCTTAATTAACAAGCATTGAACTTTCAAAAAGAATAAACTTTAAGACTATACTTACTCATTTTTACCCAGTAACGTTTATGACGGACCGTCCCTTGCTTTACACGATCCAAGCTCTGATGGAAAATTCCCGAATTGCAACAAACATGGTTTGAGATCTTTCAAACTGATAACACTGTAGTTTAGAAAAGTATTTCAATCTACCTTTGAAAGTCAATTTTCGGGGGGAAAATGGAGGAATTTAGCTCTATACTTTTGACAGATAAAAGAAATGCAATTCGAAATTGCTTGTCATAAATTTCTTTGCGTGAAAGATGCGTCAGTAGGCATAGATTCAGGGATTAGTTTAAAGCCCGTCCAATACTGTTTTATACTAGTAAAATTTACACTGTCATAAGCTATTCTGAAACATGTTTGCAAGTAATAAACCTGTGAGGTTTAAGACTATTGCCTTTATCATAAAATTACACAGTTATAGTTTTTATATCGAAGTAAAATTTCAAAAGACATATCATTGGATATTATCCAGTAAACGAACCTAGAAAATGATGTTTACTTAATGCAAATGTAGTGCGGTCTGGAATCGCATTATTAAACGTTACAAAAATTGTATCCCAAACAAAGACATACTTAACCACAAATTAAATAGTTACATACCTCGACATAAAATGGACATTGCGAGGTGAGCGCCATGGTTTTGATAGAAAATCAAGTGCAATTCTGTAAAGAAAGAGACAATATAATATAAATGTTTTAGTACTGAACTGATTAATGATCTAAATTCAAAATGACGATAAGCAATTGGCGTTTTTGTGTATTGATTTTGCTCTACACCATCTCATCGAAGGCGTAGTTCAATCACGTGATACAAATCAAAATTGGTTGCAAAATAATATTGGGATACCTGTGTGATTTGCAGCTTATATTATTGATTATTTGTAAGGATTAAGAAATCTATCTCTTAGTAAACACTATTTTGTGGCTTTTTAGATCCAGAAACGTTTTGCAACGACCAGCAGCCGTAATGTTGTCAATGTTTAAGATTTTATACCTCTAATTCTCTAAAATTTCTAATCCAGACTATAAAATATCCCTCAAAATAAGAATTTATGGTTGATTTTTAATTTCAGTTCTTTGGTTGACGGTCGACGAAATGCTAGTCGGCGAACGAGACTTCGAGGGTCGCACTTGGACGATAACGGTTGTAAGCTATAGAAAACACAATAGAGGAAAGGAAATTAATAAAGGCAACAAGGGTGACGACTATTTCTTTGATTTTACAACATTTATTGAATTTTATCCAAAAGAAAATAAAGTTATAAGCTCTTCTAAAGACGTCAGATATGAAACAATGGTGAAGCCATTGTCATCTTATAGAAAAATCGAAAATTAAACGAGACTTACCTGGAGGTCGAAGTTTGATTCGGATTCTGCCGAGTCATCAGTAGCACAAGAAGTCACGCGCATTCCCAGAAAGTTAATTCCTTCAATATGAGTACATTAATCATTATCTTCACCATCATCTTCAGCAAAAAGTGAATTGTAATAACGTTTTGCTTCTAAACTTAGGTATTTTGTTGCAAGTTCCAAGCAGTTTTCTTTAACTATAGTCGGAACTGGAATCGGTTCTTGCGACCTCACTTTCAGGGATTTAAGATTAAGCGGACGGATTTGCTTTTGTTTCAAATAATTGATCTTCATCGGTCTTTCATAGGGATTAATAGAACATCTAGCAAAACACTCCCCATCTTTGAGTTTCTCAGAAACAAGGCTGCCACTGCTGTTTGTCGACCCACTCATACCAAAGTTGAGCCAAGCCAAATTCTTTACCCAAATTTTTTTTTCCTGTATGTCCTCTTGGCGGCTGACATACGCATTGCGTAAAAACGTTTTATATGACTTGACCATGTCCAGCGAAACTTCATGTTCCACAAGGTTTGTTATACATTGTTCGTTCAATTTTGCTACCCAATCGGCAGGAGTTTTGATTGTTTCAAAGCGTTTTGTAGCTACTTCTGAAGCAAAACGCCTGTCACATCTACTCGCTTCGTTTTAACGAGATATTGGCAATAAAAAAAAGATAATTCTCTTTGAATTGTGCGGGACAATTGTCAGCCCAAAGCACAAGGTGTCTAAGCACAGCTGTTTCACTCCGTTTCAAGAAGAAATCCAAAAAAAGAAATCCCTTCATCGGGTCCTTCTCCTCCAACGGTCGATGGATAAATGTATGCGTTCAATTTCTTATTATTTGCGTCAAATATTTCAAATAGTCTTGTTATCAATCTCTTYTTGTAATAAGCGTCTTCGCTGGATAATTTCGGTAGCTGAATGATTTTATGAAAGTCTAGATGCAAGACTAGAGATGTTTCTTTCATTTTAGTAAGATTTCAAACAGCAGTAACAGACATTATTTCAAAAGTTGACGTCATGTYACTAAAAAACGCATTGGCGCGCGCTACAGTTTTGCCAGAGGTTCGATTTTGGCATTCTCGAATGGAATGAAAGTTGTGTTTAACGTTTCCTTCTTAAGAATGGTACACTATATATCGCAGTTGAATATACCTTGATCAAATTACACGTGCATTATATACCCCTTCCGAGAAACTTTGTCACCCGTGAAGCGAAAAGCGTATAAACTAGTGGCGCGGGGAGTCATGGGATAGTTTATATTTGACCACGTGCACACCAACACATGGGTCAAAGCAATCATGCCGCGAGCATTAAGTGACGATTTACGGATGAGAAGCGTACTGCTATATGGCTATATGGCTTAAACCACAGTAAAGGTGACATTGCTGTTCGCCTTGGCATGTCTTCAAGGTCCGTGTTACGCTTCGCCCGACGATATTACGAGAGACGAGATGTTTGTGCTGACAAACCAGGAAGACCTGCTGGTTCGTATTCGCTATCGCAACAAGAACAAGCCGTTTTGATGCAAGAATTGTTAGAACACCCAGAAAAAACTCTATCTGAGCTCTGTAGATGAAGGAGTATGCGGTGCCAGGCTTTCTTTTTCTACTTTACACGACTATTTCAGAAGAAATGGCATCACACGCAGAATGGTAATATTAAACGTTAAATGCATTCTTGTAAGCCGATGAGAAATATGTAATCATGAATGTTGTATTCGAAAATTGCTGCAATTTTTCATTCAACACATTTCACTTTCGGCGTTCATAGCTCAAAATAATTCCTTATCAAAGATGCGAAGAAGATCGAATAAACTATTGGTCTGTGGTATCACAATTCAATCCTGCGATGTTTGTGTTCCTCGACGAGTGTGGATTTGTAAGTTCTCTTTTCAGAAACTCATTTTGTTATACCTTTTTAACTGATCTCCGCACTGGGTTTGTCACACTAACAGAGATTATAACAAATGTTTCTGCATTACAGGATAAACGAATTTCGAGACGCTTTGGATACAGTTTTCGAGGCTATCGAGCTCAAACGCAAAGATGGTATGGCAATTGGGGTCCCAGGATTACTGCTATCCCTGTCATCTGCACGGAAGGAATAATAGACTTGAGTATCCGCCACGGGAATACCAATGAAGAGAAATTTCTTGAATTTGTGAATGAAAACCTTATTCCTAATCTACAGCCGTTTGATGGGATTAATCCTCGCTCTGTGGTTGTAATGGGTGAGCACTCACGTCACATCAGATTTTGTTAGTATTTTATTGCAACGCACTAAATTAATGAAGACAATTGCATTATATTCATTACAGATAATGCTAAAATTTCACCGCTGTCGTCGTGTAGTTCAAGCTATAAATGCTAGTGGCGCTCTTGTGGTATTCTTGCCATCTTACAGTCCTGACTTCAATCCATGTGAGAACGTTTTCTCTCAAGCAAAGAGTTGGATTCGAGGAA